TTGAATATTACGAGAAACAAAAACCTGTCCTTGCTTCTCTTTGCAGAGGAAGGAGCAGAATCCCAGCATCACAAAATATTTGAAACTTAGTGGCGTCGTGGGGAAGGAGTCACCTGGCTTCCTTCTGAACTGGAAACGGGTGCTGATGGCTCTTGTCTTGTGTGCAGAGTTTCAGAGATAAACATTCTGAGAATTTGTAGCAATCCATACTCAAAATCTATCCATAGCCAAAAATGTCCCACCAAGAACTTACTTGATAGTGCTTCTAAAAATGGTGATTCCATCAAATGCCTTTGGCCAGCCAAAAAAATCAGGTAGCACAGATTGCCATCCTTTGATCCTGGTATGTCTCAGTTTTAACGTATTTTCAGTGTTGACATTTTCTGACTTATTCTAAACATTGATCACTCTTTAATGAATGATTTAGCCTCTTGGTAGCTGCAGTGATGTCCTGATTAAAGTGAAGTACAGATTATAAAGCCTGACACTATTCCATTTTTAACTTGCTTATAGAATCAGAATCATTTTTGCTCATATTCCAGGTTCAGGCATATTTTTATTAATCATAAATCTGAAAAATATATTGTTTTTATTGTAAATGCATATATTGTATTGTAATTTAAATATGTTGTAATTTTTTTTACAACCCATCACATTTCTTCCTTGTTAAATTAGCTGTTGCCTTACAGATATCTTCTGTATTTCCATCTCAACTAATTCTTATCTTCGTCATTCATTTGGGTAGTTTTAATGTTTCAGTTTCTCTCTCTCTGTCTCTCTCTCTCATATTTTAAAAATGTCTTCCTTTAATCCATATGTGTTTTGTGTCAATGAGTACTTTGCTTTTTATTGCCATATAAGCCAACAGTTTCCCTGACTGCAGTGGAAACCCTTGCTGTTTGTTCAGGTGTCTATTGAGCACTGTGTATTGAATACAAGTTTGGTTGCATAGCAGACAGCTTGGCAAAGGGAGGATGCTTCTTGTGTGATTGCATACATAGATGATAACTCAAAGATCCACACTTACAAGTGAGCAACATGTCCTCTCCCAGTAGTTATCTCCCCTATATTTTTAAATCAAAATAATGAAATGAACATCCATTTCTGAGTACCATTCTACCCAACCACCTGCTGGCTTAAAAAAGAATTAATTTAAAAAATACATGTAACAATATCAAAGCATAGCTCTGGTCACTTACTCCAGACTTTTTTGTGGCTTTCTTCTCTTGCCAATGATCCAGACTGTACAAAATTGAGTCCAACTGGAATCAGTATGTTTTAAGAGAAAATCATCTTCCTCCATATGGTGTATACCTTTCTAGATCTTAATAAAATCTTTGTTCCTCCTTTAGTTTTTTTCCCCCCTTAGGTTTGAACTATCTAAACACATTTTTTTTTCTTGAAAGATGTTCTGCATACTCCTTGTGATTTTGGTTACTTATTCCCTGTTCTCTATGCCATCCCTAAGATTGTATGACTGTTACCGGCCATAGACCAAAACTATATAATGTAATATGATACCCACCATCTTATTTTCAGTCCTTAATTATAAATCTGTTTTAATTTAATTAATATATATGAGTATAGTGACTTCAGGTAGTATTTTTGTGAGCAGTCCTCAAAGAGGGAGAAGACCACAAAGCAGACTTAAAATACAGAAAGGTATTATTTTTATTTTATTTTATTTATACCCTGCCTATCTGGTCATTGCTACCACTCTAGGCAGCTTAGTTCACTCTAGGTACCTTAGTTCAGAGGGCTAGGAGAGTAGAGATAGTTTGTCTTTCTTCCTGGTAGGAGAATTCCATAATTGAGATGCTGTAGTAGTGAAACTTTTGCCTTTTATCATGAAGCTCATGTAACATGATGGGGCCTCCAGAATTATCAAAGGTAAAGCAGAGGAGCAGATGGTTCTTCAGGTATCTGGTTCCCAAGCTATGCCTGATTTTAAAGATATGAACTTTCAACTAAACTCAAACAGACTATGAGCTAGTCTTTATACCAGACCTGGGCAAAGTGCGGCCCGAGGGCCACATATGGCCCGCGAGCCGCTCCTGTCCGGCCTGCGGATAGTTTTGGACATCAAAACCATTTATAGCTTTTTGTCTAAAGTTGATCAGTTGCTTATCTTTAACATACCACAAAAAAACTCTTTAGTACTTATGAAGATTAACAAGTTTTAAAAAAACAATCATAACATCACTGTTTCATTTTATTTTTAAGTAAAGTTGGTTCGGCCCCTGAACACAGTTCAGATTTTTCATGTGGCCCCCTATAGAAATTAATTGCCCACCCCTGCTTTATACATATTCCTTGTTATTGATTCTGGTTAGTAACCCAAAAGCAGTACAGTGGTGCCTCGCTTAACAAGCGCACCGTTTAATGACGAATCCGCATAGCGATCTGTTTTTTCAGATCGCTAATGCAATCGCATAGTGATGTTTTCAATGGCAAACCATCGCATTGCGATGATTGGTAAGCATTTCGCTTACCGATCTCCGCATTGCGATTTTTTTTAAACAGCTGATCGGCAGTTCCAAAATGGCCGCCGGACGCCCAAAATGGCCGCCGCAAGCATTTTCATGCCCTGCCCTCGCTTACCGAGGTCGCGAAAATGGTGGTGCTATGGAGGAACTTTGCCGAACGGTGAGTTCGGGGCCCCGTAGGAACGCATTAAACAAATGGTTTTTTGATCCGTTTAGCGATGTTTTTGCATAGCGATGATTAATCCGTAATGGATTAACATCGCTATGTGGGGCACCACTGTATTTTTAGCTAGTAACAGTTTTTCTGTGGTCTTCAAAGGCAACTTTTTGTCCATCCCATTGTAGCAGAGTGCAGGGACAGTTAGCAGTGTATGAGTAAAACTCCAGGAAAGGCTGCTGTTGGCATGCAAATTCCAACTGCTACAATGATGGTGCATTAGTCTCCAGTGACAGAACTGGATCTTTGACCACCAGGTGGTAGCTTGAGGTACACATCTGAGATTTTCTTTGCTATTTTGGTGCTCTGTTGCTGTTTTGTAAATTCTGTCTTCACCAGCCAGTTATGTCTTAGGTGTGAGTGTATTGCTAAGGAATGCTTTGTCATGTTTGCTAAAGGCTTGTCAGTTTGGAGGTGCAAGAAGTGGTGCCAGGGTGCAGTATATTTTACTGCTATTTCTTATGTATGCAAGACCACTATTTTCAACAGAGGAATTAGGTAGGGCCAGTTCTGCCCTTCCAAAATGAACCCCTGCTTTTTATGTAGGCATGAAACAGTAACCAGCGGCCGTAATAGCAGTGTTTAGGGTAGGGAATGCAGCAATGATCTGTATAGGTATTTCTCTCTTTCCTCTTCTTTGTAGAGAGGACAGTGTCAAATATTGTCTTTCCTCCACCCATGTAGAGAAAGAGGCATCCCAACTGATCAGGTTTCCTGTAATTCTCTTTGAGCCACAGTATGTCAGGTGTTTGTCATTTGTTTGTTGTAAATGTCTGTGTCTTATCCATATGGTAGAAACTAAAGCTGTGACTCAACAACACTGTTGTGTGGAATGCTACACAGGGTGAATTTGATTTGAATTGGTCATTGATTTTTATCTGCCCTGGTACTAAATCTACTTTTGAAGGGTATAACATTTGAAATATGAGAAAGTTGCTGACTTATTCAGTTGTTCCAGACTATTTCCCTTTTGAACTTCAAGGGAAAAGTTTGAGGACCAAGCCACCCCTTCTCTGCCAAGCTGTTTCTGTTTTTAAGTTACACAATAGCATAGGACTGAAGTCCTATTGTAGCTTTGTTCCCTCCATTGTCATCCCCAGAGGCCACCTATTTTTGGAAAATAAAAAGATAAAATGAACAACCTCTGTTATCTGGGGAGGCTGTCTAAAAAGGAAATTAAGCTTCAATTGATATAGAGAGCTTACTGTATACAGATAGCAGAAATTCTGCTGCTTCAGATGTTGCAGTGTCCACGTCAACAAGTGTGGAGTGAGCATTCATTGCTTCTTCCCATCTTAATACAACATACTTTTAAGTTAATGAATTGGGATGGGTTGAATTCTTTGAAATGTTTCTTAGATGTAGCCTGGGTTTGCATCTAGTAAGAGAAACCATATATTGAAAAACAAAAGGAGTAAGGCTCACATCTTGGTGAACTTCATAGCCTGAGAACTGGGAATTTCCAAGCTCAACTCATTCTGATGCCAACACTATACTGGCTGAACCCCATGTTGAAACATTTTGGAAACACTTACTGTATTTTTCTGTGTATAAGATGCCCCCATGTATAAGACACCCCCCCACACACTTTTCTAACCCAAAATTAAGAAATCTAAGTGGATCTTAGCAAGTGTATTCGGAAAGGAATCAAAGCAATCCCGCGACTGCATGATTGTTTTGATCCCTTTCCCTCTTAAACAGTCATGGGATTGCTTTGATCCTTTCCCCATACACTTGCTAAGCCCCATGGGACCTAGTAAGCAGAGGGGAAAGCAGTTATCAAAGCCATCCTGCAGTGCTTTGATCCCTGCTTTCCTTTTGCTAAGGCTTAGCAAGTGGAGGGGAAAGCCGGGATCAAAACCCTGCAGGATCACTTTGATCCCTGCTTTCCCCTCCACTTGTTTTTCTCTTCTCAGCTTACTTCCGTGTATAAGACGACCCTCAATTTTTAGTCTAAAGATTTTAGACAAAAGTATAGTCTTATACATGGAAAAATAAGGACTGCTCAATGAAGGGCAATGAATGACCTTACCCAGAGCTGGAAGAGAGGAAAGTTCAGTGGCAAGGTGTGCCCAAATCTCATTTTAGTTTTCATATTCTTTGTGTTCACAACAGACGTATATCACAATAACTTCTTCATGAGAAACTTGGTTTTCTGTCATAACTGTTTATTTATAGGAAGCCAAGCCAAGTTACCTTTTTGCATATATTTATATTTATGTGTATGTGTGTTATGTTTAATTACAATTTGTGGGTTTTTTATATACATCATACCTTCTTTTTTTCCCCTCTTATAGGTCCTGCTGGGGATTTACATCTGGCTTCAATGTGAAATTAAGGTAGAAAAATGCACATAAACATGTGTTTCCTGTTAAGATTTAGTGTGCTCAGTGATTATGCCTGAAGAGTGGGTCTTGTCTCTGTACTGATAACTGCCAGGAAGTATAAATGATTGCCCTAGAAGTCAAGTGTGTCTCCTCCTTACTGGAGTAAAAAAAAATCCACCTCCAGGTTTCCACGGAATATCATCTACAGAAAATGCATCTCGTTCTAAGGATGACAGCCACGTAGATTCATGCACCTGATCTATACAGTTGTTGTGGATGGTTTGCCATCTGAAAGCTCCTCAAGCTCCTGTCTGGGTCCTGTGCCTGTTTCTGAAATGTCTCTGCTTCATGCTTTGGGCCCTGTGCAGACCTGGCTGGGACAAGAGCTAGAAAAATGTGGCATTGATGCCATGATTTATACTCGCTATGTCCTTAGTCTTCTGCTGCATGATAGTTATGACTACGATCTGCAGGAACAGGTATTTGCATATTTTAGATGTGTTTGAATGAGTGAGGGCATGTTTTGCTTGTGCAACACATGTTTTAATGATGTTAAAATGTAATGTGTGTTTGCTAGTGTCTTATTTCTCTTTAAATAATTTTTAGTTAAAAACAGAAAAGAACACATGGCACTTGAAAATATGTTCAAGGATTTGGCATACTTATTGGGATACTTGACTTTTGATTATGATGTATAACGCACAGTATAAATCACATGACTTGTTTTTTAGTTATCACATACAATCAATCAAGCCTGTGTTTCAGATGAAATTTGTCATGTGGTTTAGAACAGTGGTTCTCAATGCTTTGCTGTCCAGATATATTGGATTTTAACTCCACTGAGTTTGTCATGCTGGCTTGGGATTCTGGGAGTTGGAGTCTGCAATACCTGGAAGCTAAAAGGTTGAACCACTGGTTTGGATGGTGCAATTGGCTTGTTTGTGTTTTTAGGCTCCTTGATAACATGTAATTGTGAAGATGTTTAGCTTGAGCCATTATGTCTAATCACCACTGCCTCCCTTTTTCTCTTTTGCTGTTCTTCCCAGTTTAGTGGTCTGCTGTGGAAGAAACAGATCTCCTTTACAGTCTCCACTGTTGGCTCTTAGGGAAGTTTTGAAATTCAACCAAGAACTGCAAGTTGCCTGTCTATGATATTGAGAATGAGTTGTGGGAGACAACTGAATCAATCCAAAATATTTGCTAGAGCACTTCTGCCTGCCCCCTGCATCTATATTTATATCGCCCTGCCAAACATCACCAGTAGTGTTCCTCTTCTGCTGTTTCCAGTGGCAGGGCATGCTGCAGGCAAGAGTGGCAACTCATATGTGCACCATCCTAGTCCACATAAAGTGCTTTAGTCCATAAGAATTCTATTCTAACATATCCCAACATCCAGATCCAAAATGCAAGTCAAAATTTCAGCCACCTGTTTTGGATCTGTGACCATTATAACCATTACTGCTAGATGTATCTTTTTATGTTTTGAGTTGTATTTGAAAGAGAATGCTCAGCAACATCCTCTCTTTAAATGGCTAGTTTGGGTCATGTGACACACCTGAGGGAGAAGAGGTATAACAGTTGTTCTAGCACAATTAAGAGGGAAAGACAGGCCCATTTCTTTGTAAGGGGAGAAAATACCCAAAAGGAAGGATGCTTCAAAATGGAAATTGGAAGCTAGACCTTTAGAGATTTGCTCATCTCTGTTACCACTTCTTGTACTGCAACACATGTTCCCTTGTCTGCATAGTGTATTGGGATGTAAGCATTCCACCCCAATAGAAGTCAAATCAATATATTTAATGTATCTTGGAAATAGATTGGGAACAAAAACTTTATGATCATTATTTATCTACTACATTTATGGTAGAATTTCAAACTGTTTAACTGAAGTTCTCTATTAGATGGATAGACAGACAAACAGACAACATAAGTTACAGGATAGTTATAAGATATTGGTAGTAAACAGAGGGCTAAAATGAGCAACAAGGACAGAAACTATGCAGCACATAATGACCAGGTTAAAGTAAAGAAAAACATCTTGTGGTAAATACTTCTCTGCATGCCAGGCCAACCATAATTAGAAGAATTTACTGCTAGCCCTTCCTAATAAAGGCTTTTACTGTACTTGTCTGAACTACAGTATTAGTTCATTGTTTCATTTAATAGAAGTGGTCTGTCTGATACCCTGTCTCCTTAAGCATTTTCATTCCTTTGTAGATGTGTTTCCCAAAATCCATTTTGTTATTTCATTTGATGAAAGCCTTTAATCTGAGAGATTTTGTCACTGCTGCCGATGTCACATTGCACATGTAGAGGTGTGCAACAGGATTTCAGCCAGTTTATGTTCATGTCCCTGGGCAGAATCATGTTGGCATTACAGAGTGCAACATTTCTGCTAGTGGTGCCCTTCACAATTTCCAGATTGTAATGGTGCATGGTAATGATTTCCCTATTCAACATAGTGGAGGTTGCCAGTTGTGACAGTTGTGAATATGCAGATGTTGTGAAAGAACCACACACAAATCCATTTATAAATCATTTGAAAGAAATGATATTCTAGCTGGTTTTTGGGCTGTTTGGCTGTGTTCTGAAGGTTTTTCTTGCTAATGTTTCACTTGTCTCTGTGGCTGGCATCTTCAGAAGATGGGAGTTAGAACTCTGTGTTCTGGTGTGGTGTAGTTGAATATTTGTAGCTGTGAGATCAGCTTTTTATCCTTTTCAGGAGATTAGATCATTATGGTGATCAGGGTGTTTTTTGTTATGAGTGTATTGTTGTGATGGGGGAAGATGATCTGTCAATGTGATTGATAGGTGTTGTTACCTAGTCCTTTGTGTGCAATGTCTGGGTAGAGTTCGTTCAACTTTTTGCAGGCTGTATTTTTCAGTGCTGGGAGCCAGGCTTTGTTGAGTTTTAGACTTGCTTCTTTTTTGTTGAAGCTCTGCTGGTGTTTGTGGATTTCAATGACTTCCCTGTGTAGTCTAACATAATGATTGCTGGTGTTGTCCAGTACTTCTGTGTTTCAAAATAGAATTTCATGTCCAGCTTATTTCAGGGCATGTTCAGCTGCTGTTGATTTTTCTGGTTGTTTTAGTCTGCAGTGTCTCATGTTCTTTGATTCCGGTGTGGATGCTGTGTTTTGCGGCCCCAATATATTATATTATATATTATTCTTTACTTTACTTCCCTATATTGCATAGATGTTTGTAGATAATAAGTTATTCATCCCAGTTACCAGTAACTGCAATCATTGGTAAAATTCTTATTGCTTTGTGTAGTAAATTCCACTAGAATCATAGAATAATGGAGTTGCAATGGGGTCTATAAGGCCATCGAGTCCACCCTCCTGCTCAGTGCAGGAATCAAAGTATATCTGACAGATGGTTGTTTAACTTTGTCTTGAATTCCTCCAGTGTTGGAGTGCTCACTGCCTCCCAAGGTCATTGGTTCCATTGCTATACTGTTCTAACTAGAGATGGGATGTTTGTATTCATCTCCTCTGGGAGACGAATATGAATATTGCCAGCACAGTTGGAGATACTCTTTAGACCTGCCCCCCAGAACCAGCCAGTCCACTTACTGGTTGTGGTGTGAGGGAAGTAGCCTGGCTAGCACTTCCCTGCCTCCCTTCGCTGCTGACCACTCAGCTGCTGAGCAGGGAGACTTGTCATCCTGCCTTCTTGCTGGAGTGATCAATAGCACAGGAAGGCGGGGAAGCGCCAGTCAGGCTACTTCCACATTTGGCACAGCATGAACAATTATGGGCCTGTACACCACGACCAGTAAATGAACTCGTCAGTTCTGGGCGTGGGTCCAAAGGGCCCAGCCAAATGTGGCAGTACAGTGGTGCCTTGCTTGATGATGTTAATTTGTTCCAGAGAAATTGTTGTAGAGCGAAAACATCGTCAAACGAAACGGAAAAAACCCAGCGAAGATCCTCCATACAGCAGCCATTTTCAGTGCCTGTAAAACGAGGTATCTGTCCTAGAAAACAGTGGGTGGCCATTTTCTTCAGCTGGTGGCCATTTTGAAACCTGATGATCAGCTGTTTGCTGATTGTCAGAAAACAAAAATCTGTTCCCGAAGCAGGGAACCGATCATCGCAAAGCGAAATTCCCCCATTTAAACCATTGTTTTGCGATCGCAAAAATGTCAACATAATGTGGATTCGTCGTAAAGCGGGGTAATCGTCCAGCGGGGCACGACTGCACTGTATTTGTATTTGTCTCCCCTGGGAGATGAATACAAATATCCCATCTGTAACTTTAATAGTTAGGACATTTTTCTAAATCTGACTTCCTGTATCAGGAGCCCATTATTACATGTCCTACATTCAAAGGTTTGGAGACCCCCTGGTCTATAGGATACCTTCTTGCACTCATTTGTTGAAAAAGAACCCTGACAGTTACTTTGTGTTTGAGTGAGAAGTGGTGAAAAAATGAGCTTCTGGGATTTTCCTTTGCTTAGTGTTACTTTGTGAATGGTGGCAAGTAGAGATGGGAGTTTTCATATTTCTATATGAATATCCCCGCGCAGCTGGACTTAACAAGGGGGCTAGACCATCGAACTCACACATCCAGCAGTGGTAGAATCCTCGCTCATCCTTCCAATCACTCCCGGATACCGCTCTCTTCCCACTCGGCTAGTCACTCCAGGCAGGGGGAGGAAGGATGAGTTTCCCTGCATGGCTGCTGAGTGGCCTGTCAAGCGGGAAGAGAGTGGTGCTCTGGGAGTGATTGGAAGGATGAGTGAGGCTGCCACTGCTAACCTACCCATGTGTGTGAGCATGCCACGCCCACCTCTGAATGTGCCACGCCCTCCTGTGCACGGACCCCACCCCCAACCCGTCCACAGTTGGGAAAAGGTTGGGAATCACTACTGTAGACCATCTTGACTAATATGATTGATGTCAACATTCAGACTGCCTTTTGCTCTATAAAGCTTGGCAGCCTTTTTCCTGCTGCCAGCGTGGGCACAGTACTGTGTAACAATGTTGGGCCATTTCCTGGCGTATTGAGTTGCGGATACACAAGTGCAATATTCCACATTCATAAACTGGAGATTTTTTTTGGGGGGGAAAGAATTGAATTCTTCTATCACAGCTAGGGAAAGGGAGGGAGGAAATCATGTGGCAGCATAACTTACCTGATACTTTTGCCTTGTTCTTTGTATAGTATAGTGCTCCTGCAAATCCTCCATTGATGCACATTTGAGCTTCTATGCTTTGTGAAATTCCAAAAGAGAAAAATATGTTCCCATATCATCTTAATAAGCTGTACAATGTTGATTACATGAATGCTACATTGAACAGTTTCTTAAATGTAATACAGGATTGCTAACAGAAAACCGCTTCTAAGGAACTAAGATGATTATATAAATAGGTTGCATCCAGAGTTTGCAATAGGGCTTCCCACATTCTTTCCACATTACACCCCTTCCTCTCTCAACAGCCCATCCTCTAAATTGTGGAAATCCTCAGGAAAGAACCTGGTTTTTCAGGGAAATACAGTGGAGAGGAGATAAATGTAAAGATATCACTTTGCTTTCTTTCAGAGTGACCCATTTTCCCCAATCCGGGTAAAAATTGAACAGAAGCTTCTATTATTTAATTTTGATAGCTTTACTGGGAGCATGAGTTTTTTAAAATTTTGATCATATGTTCTACACTCAGGTTTTAGTTGTGTTCCTCTTTTCTGTAACTTTTTGTGTACTATTTATGAAAGCCATGATTGTTTTTAAAATGATATATATACCTAGTTTCACAATGAGTACAAATATGTGTAACAAGGAAAAAATCGTTTCAAGATAGAATGGTGTGAATAGTTCTTCTACAGTATTCTTCTGTTCTCAAAATTGCTTCTCCTGATTTTTTTTCTTTTTCTCTTTTCCTTTCTTTCTCTCTCTCTCTCTCTCTCTCTCTCTCTCTTTCTTTCTTTCTTTCTTTTTTTGACAGCAAAATATGGACAGAATTAACTGATGCTGCTTGATGTGCTGGGCATTTTCTTGTAAGGGCTTAGAAATGAGTAGTATGAGTTGTTCTGGGATTCTCCCTACAGTCTCTCATTATAATGAATAGCTTCACTACATTCTGTTTGTGATCAGAGGCAAGAACAGCATTACATAAATACTCTCAGCTGCCGTAAGATTGTTGATCTGTGTGGAAGGAGAATTACCTAGTTTATGAGCAGGGTGCAGACTGATTTGCCATGTTCAAATGGTAATGAATGTCTCACTTTAGAGGAGTAGTCCCAGCTATTAGAAAGGTAGTTGTACAGTCGTTCCTAAAGAAACTGTCTTCATTCTAAAAGATTATATAACTGCTGTCAGCTAGTTTCTAACATGACTTCACTGTGTCATGAGGTTGCTATGGAGTTGTCCTTTTGGATGAGACGGATGATGCAGATAATCAGATTTCAACAAAGACAAGTTATCGTGATGGATGACCTGTCCTAGGAGAATGGGAGGGAAGAGTTCAGAATAAGTGATAGCACTATCTTCTGAATAGACTGTGTGGGGTAGGAATTGGAAGCACTGGATGGAATCCTGTTGTTCTTATTCAGTGTGATATTTATTATTTGTGATTTATTTCTGTTACTCTGGATGTAGACTGCATAGAGTAGTGCTGGTAGGACTAATTGGTGCGTTATACAAGGATAGATAGATAGATAGATAGATAGATAGATAGATAGATAGATAGATAGATAGATAGATAGATAGATAGATAGATAGATAGGCAAGCAAGCAAGCAAGCAAGCAAGCAAGCAAGCAAGCAAGCAAGCTCTGTGGCACCTCCTATAAGTCGTTTAATACATCAGTGTGGAATAGCCAAATGATGTGGAGTGAATAACAAGTAATGTGCCCAACAGCACTGCTTATTTTCATCAGATTTCGGGGAATGAATTGGTTGAAGGCCAAAAAGTTAAGTTTAACTCGGAAAAGATTTCCTTTGGTGGGTAATTGGTCTGTTCCAGTTGTTAGCATTCATTCTGCTTTGGGATAACATTCAGGTCCATTGTTTGGAAGTGCTTCTAGATGTGGTGTGGGTTTTTTTTTCCCCCCCGGAGAACCAGAGGATCTCTGTGGCAAAGTGAACTCTCTGCTCCATTAGTAGTTCTACAGGTAGTACTCTTTTTTAGCAGATAGGCTAGCATTGGTTATCTACAATTTCTACATTAGACTAGTAAACATGCATTATATTTCATTGCTTTCCACAGGCAATTCAGATGCTCATGATCGTATAGAATATACTTGCAAGAGTGTTAACTGGAGCAAGGTTTTGGGAACATCTTTTAATGCTGCTGATGTTTGTGCTAATTCCTGTTCACTGTCTGAGATCAATTACAAGTACTGAGGCTTATCTTAAAGTTGCCTCTTCATTCTGTTGGATACTTGATCTCTTTATGATCCTTGCTGTGCACTCATCCATCTGATAGTCCTCCATCAGGTGCTCCTGCTATCACAGATACAGCAAACAGTTGTCAGGCAAATAGTCTTTTTGGGGTGATATCCCATTGAGAATATGTGGCACGTGGTGGTACTGCGGGTTAAACCGCAGAAGCCTCTGTTTTGCAAGGTCAGAAGATCAGCAGTCATAAGATCGAATCCATGCAACAGAGTGAGCTCCCGTCACTTGTCCTAGCTCCTGCCAACCTAGTAGTTCGAAAGCATGCAAATGCGAGTAGATAAATAGATACCACCATGGTGAGTAGGTAACGGTGTTCCGTGTCTAGTTGCATTGGGCACGTGACCAGAGAAACTCTACAAACGCTGGCTCTACGGCTTTGAAACGGGGATGAGCACCACCCCCTAGAGTCGGACACAACTGGACAAAATGTCAAGGGGAACCTTTACCTTTACCTTATCCCATTGTTGCTTTCTTAAAAACCAAAGCAAATGCTATTATGTTATTAAGCAAGAACCTTATTCTCTGCTCTGTCTTTATGCTGCTCTGTCATCTGTTGTTTGTTTTTTTAGATGCTGTTGCTGTTAGTAGGTATATCTATCTCATTACTTTTGTAATAATTGTATTTTTATTTTTATAATGAAGCTGCTCAGGGAGGAATTCATTCAAGGGTGTGATATGAGATATCTTGAGGTAACCAGTGTGGTAAATAAAATGATGGACTAGGACTCAGGAGACTTGGGTTTAAGTCACAACTCTGCCATGGAAACGGAACTGGTAAAACTACTCCTTAAATACTTCAAATACCTTGAAAGCCCTGTCCGGGTTACTATAGTCAGTCCAACTTGATGGCACATAACATGAGGTATCTGCTAGATATGAGATATCTTGAGGTAACCAGTATGGTAAATAGAATGATGGACTAGGACTCAGGAGACTTGGGTTTAAGTCACAACTCTGCCATGGAAACGGAACTGGTAAAACTACTCCTTAAATACTTCAAATACCTTGAAAGCCCTGTCCGGGTTACTATAGTCAGTCCAACTTGATGGCACATAACATGAGGTATCTGCTATAAAAATAAAGTCCTTCAGGTGTCAGGAACAGATAGGATCACAAGATACTGTATATGTGTAAATACTTTGTGTGTTCTCAGTCTACCTTGTCCCTGTTGTTTGTGCCCTTTTTAAAAAAGAAAAATAAATCCTTGAATATTTGGTGAACAATCACTGCATTTAATTTTACTCCTTTTAATTTATTGTAGGAGAATGACATCTTCCTGGGCTGGGAAAAAGGAGCTTACAAGAAATGGGGGAAGAGTAAGAAAAAATGCTCTGATCTAACACTAGAAGAAATGAAAAAACAGGCTGCTGTACAGTGTCTTCGCTCTGCTTCTGATGAAGTATGTATTGGCAGTATTGTTAGCAATATCTTTAAAAGTAGTTAGCGTCAGATAAAACATGCCAAGTTTTGGATAACTTATATGTATTGTAGTTTCAGTTACAGTAATTGTAACATTTTAGAGTGAAAACTCAGCCTGACATACTTCCTCCTTGATATGTCTGAGAGGAAAAATATATCAGGTTTGTATTTCAGTTCATCGGATTCCTGTCTTCTTGTTATGCAAACTGAGAGCTGTGATTCAAAATAAACTCTAGTCAGTAACTAAACAGGCCAAGTACAAACCTTGGATTGTGCTTTTGTAGCCTTTTTTTAACATATTGGGGCTCGTTTTTAACCACAATTCCTGATTTGCACATAAATGCAAGGCAGGAATCTACTAATGTAAATATAAATTCAGGTTTATTTCTCCTGCAGGTTGTGCTGGGGGAGGAGGAGATGAGGGTAGAATGTGTGAGGCCACTGGTTAGCACTGGATGCTTTCTGCTTATGCATGTAATTCCAAACCGTAGTTTAGCATTCTTTGTAAATGGGACCACAGTGCGCTATTCCATGTAAAAGAACATATAGTTTGGCTTTTAAGCAGACATTATAAATACGTTAAAGATAAGCTTTGCTGCTGCAGCTGATGTTATTATCCATCATCCAGTAATGGTTTGATCTAGGTACTGACAAATAAACACAGATGCTAGGAACCACGAGATGCTGCAGTTTACATCACCAGGATCATCCACTGAACCAGTTTGAGTAATATTAATGTCTCTGTGTCATCCAGTTACCTGAGCTCTATAGTGTGTTCACTTATTAGAGAATGAATATTTATTGATTGATTGATTGATTGATTGATTGATTTGATTTGATTTATATCCCGCCTATCTGGCCCACCGGACCACTCTAGGCAGCTTCCAATATAAAATCAGATAATAAAAACATTAACAAATACATAATAATCAAACAGCAACAGCAGTGAAATAAAGAAGAAAAAGTAAGAGAGAAATCAAGAATTGGCTGGAGGGAAGGCCTGGATAAATAACCATGTTTTTAGTTGGGTTTTAAAGGTTCCCAGCGTGGGGGCCGTGCAAATCTCCGGAGGGAGATTGTTCCAGAGGCGAGGAGCCACCGCCAAGAAGGCCCGGTTTCGTGGCCTCTCTTGGCATCAGGCTCCTCAGCCTCACTTCCTGACTCTTTAGGACATTATATATAAACTGCAGTGTGTAACGTGTGTAGTTGTACTACACATATGTATTTCTTTTTAGCTGTGCTTTCCAGGTGTCTTCCATGTATCTTTTTTTTAAAAAATAGGTTTTTATTAATGAAATACAGATATAAATTAGTTAACAGATAGCATAGGAATACTGCATTATTTTAGCAAGATAGTTGTGGTAAATAGATCTGATAGAATAATATCATATTCATCAAAGTTCTGTGAATAGAAAGGTCAAGTGACTGTGAATGTGCTCTCTTTGGAGGGCCACACAGACGTATCGGTACCATAAAACCTGCTAATGTTTGTGTAGTTTCTTGCATATATAACACACTGTATCAGTTTCTCTGAGAGTCTCTAACATGTACCATCCATTTGTCACAAGATGTTGACATTCTTTCATCTTTTTGCTTTCTTGTCTGATTGCAAGGAGGAAACTGAATCTTGATGTAAGAGTGAGGCATTACCTGAAAAAAATATTCGGCAAGGATCACCCAAAGTTAGAATCCACCTGACGGCATATAATGGTCATTAAAGTCACAGTTGTACAGTGGTGCCTCGCTTAGCGATGTTAATCTGTTCCGGAAAAAACGTTGCTAAGCGAAAACATCGCTAAATTAAAAAGCCCATAGAAACTCATTAAAACGTGATTATGCTCTTAAAACATACCTTTAAGCGAAAATCCTCCATAGCGCCACCATTTTCGCTGCCTCTTAAGCGAGGAAAAACAGTGGGCGGCCATTTTGAAACTGCCAATCAACTGTTTAGAAAGGGTCGCTTTGCCATGATCGCTTCCCCACGATCATCGCAAAGCGAAAAAACCCTATAGGGACATCGCAAAGCGATCGCTTTTGTGATCACAAAAACTCTGTCGCTAAGCAATTTTGTTGCTCAATGGAGCGATCGCTGTGCGAGGCACCATTGTATTTATATGAAATTTATGGTTGACATTGTCATTAATTTGATTCTAATACCTGTCCAGAATTTCACTAGTATTAGGGAATCCGATCACATTTCAACTTTGTCGAACAGGCTGATAGGTCATGGCAGGGATTGTCGACCCCTCATCCGCGTCCTGGTGGGCTTGGCAGAACTGGGCCACGGATACGGATCTCCACACACACACACTCGGGTTATATTTCACACTCACGCTGGGGGCGTGTCGCAATCACAGTGGGTGTGTCACCCTTGTGGGGGGGGTGTTGCACCAACAGGGTGCCCCCCCGCACATGGAGCTTGCTCCCCCCCACCAGCCCGTGGACCCAAAAAGGTTTGGGACTTCTGGTTTATTGTACACTATGAATCCTCTTCCCATCATCTAATCTTAGATGGTTTGTGGTGCAGTTAGCCATGTTTAATATGGCTTTGTGTATTGTGGATGACAATTCTTTTACCTTTGAATCATAAACAGTTGTTAAAATCTGGTAAGCAGTCTGCTGGCTTGTTTTTGCACTGTAGTTATAACAATCAAATGTAACATCTGATATATACGTAGCTACAGCATAGATGAGTTGAGGATTATTTTTAAAATATGGTTCCTGAAAAGGCTTTTTGCCTGTTTGAGGGAGATGAATCCCTCAAAAGATACCCAAGCTTGCTTCACTGAACCCTGAAGATTGTGGCTTTTTATCAGCATGGAAGAAAAGCAGATGTGGAAGTATTGGCATCAAGGGAGCATAAGGAGGTACAAGAACTTTAGCCAACATTAACCAGGTTTGTAAAGAGGTTAATAGAAGGTTTGTATATTTGGTATAATTTTTTGGTATTCATTAGAATGTAAGTAAATTTCTTTGTTACAGAATTTCAACTTGGATATAGGATTTCTCTGGGTCGTTCGCTAACAAATGAGGAATCTGACACAAATAAAAGGCATCATAGTGTTTGGATATGTCAGGCAGACCTATATCACCATGTGACACTTACTGGTAAATTAGAGATTTTACCATAGCAGGGACGTGGTGGCACTGTGGGCTAAACCGCAGAAGCCTGTGCTGCAAGGTCAGAAGACCAAGCAGTCGTAACAGCGAATCCACGCGACGGAGTGAGCTCCCGTCGCTTGTCCCATCTCCCGCCAACCTAGCGGTTTGAAAGCATGCAAATGCAAGTAAATAGGGAGCACTTCGGTGGGAAAGTAACAGCGTTCCGTGTCTAAGTCGCACTGGCCATGTGACCACGGAAGATTGTCTTCAGACAAACGCTGGCTCTATGGCTTGGAAATGGGGATGAGCACCGCCTCCTAGAGTCGAACACGACTGGACAAAAATTGTCAAGGGGAACCTTTACCTTTACCATACTGGGTTTTTAAAATTCTAAAACATAGTTGTAAAAAAGTTGTCAACAGTTTTGGAGTGATTTTTCAGGTAGACTTAAAGTGTTTGAAATAAAAATAACTTGGGAAGTGCTGCCATTTTAAAGCCTGCTATCCTGCCAAACCAAGATGTACAGTATTCAGTTTGGTTGAGGCACACAGTTGTTGCTGTTGTTTAATTTAGACAGCAGCTTGTGATTTAATTTTCTAAATTTAGTTTGATATTTGTGTATGGTTGTGCTTATATATTTGATTGTGGTGTTAATTAAGATTTGTAATGGTATGCAAGGATTCTCTTCTAGGCTCAGATCAATACAAAGCTCTTTGGACTTGTAGTTAATTTGGAGCCCCATAACTAAACTGTAGTTTTTAAAGTCTTATACAATTATTGGGCTTCCTTTATAAGGTTTGAAAAGAGCAAAGCAATATTGTACATAAAGAGATTTAATTGTGACTTTGCCTCCAGTTGTAGTGCTTTACAGGTCTGGATTGTTCTTGACCTTTTCAGATTGGCGGTTCCATGGTTAAGACAAAAAGGAAGGATTAAACCATGGAGAAACTATCTGATTTCTCCGAGTAGCAGGACATCATTTGTAATAGTATTGCTAATTTTGATAGTTGGATTAGAACTGGTATAAAGGTATTCAATGAATCAAGTTAATATTAATTTGAAATTCATTTTAGTTAAGGTTTGTAATAAGAATTTCTGTTGGGAGGTAATCAAATGCTTTTTGAGAAGCAAGGGAGAGGATTACAGTTAGTTGCTTATTGGCTTTGAACGACATTTAACTATTCTTCTGAATGAGAGTTGAAGACATGGAATGAAGTCCATTTAGTCATTCTGAATATATTGGGTTATGAAGTCTAATAGAAAAAACTGAGGTTAGCAATTTAGCATCGTGATTCATTATTTAGGTTGGGTAGTATGAGTAATTTACTGGGAATGCTAACTGATTTTGGTACTAGTATTTGAGAGGTTTTTCACAAAGGATAGATAGGTCTGTCTTTAAGGTATGATTAAATAATTAATTTTTATGAGATTCCTTTAGAAGTCTTATCAAGCCTAGATATATTATTCTTAAAATGGATTAAAGAATAACCAATTTGACTTATTCTATGATTATGTTTGAATTGAGGTGTTGAATGTGCTTGTCGGTTTAGGGGTGTGTGTGTGTATTTAAGTATTTATAGGAAAGAATTTATAAACAGTACAAATGTTAAACATTGCCAGGTAAAAACAAAAACTGTGTAATCAAAGAGTAACAAATATACTTTGTATCTGGAGCAGCCACCCACTGGGGAAGAGATTGCGTAACACAAAGTGCTCTTCTCACTAGCAGAGAACAATAGGCAATGAGAACCATGAGTAGAAAAACAAATTGTCTCCCACCTGAAGTGATCAAGGGTCAACAAAGAGAAATCATTTGTATATAAAATGTAACAATTATAAATTTGCCACACTGGCTATGTGAACCAATTGAATTCCATGTTATTTTTTTCAGGATGTTCAGCCAACCTTAAAAACAATCAACAAGTAACTTAGATTCCATTTTAACATACTTCAAATGCAGGTTAGGGACATTGGCTTCAGCAGGGGTTAAGGATTTATATTGTTAATCTGAAGCATCTCCAAGATTCTTCTATCTTCCTTTTGATTGCTAGTAGTGAAAATTCTATCATCATAGTGTACATAACAACACAAAGAGATTCCCCACTTATTTCAGTTTCTGTGTGCATTGACAAAGATGTCTCCTGCACTTTAGAATTTCAGGATGTGGGCAAACCAATGGATGTTGTCTATCTGGATTTTCAGAAGGTGTTTGACATGGTCTCTCATCAAAGGCTGCTGTGAGAACTCCACAGTCAGAGGATAAGAGGGCAGGTCCTCTTGTGGATTGAGAATTGGTGTAGAACCAGGAAACGAGTGGACCCTTGACTTACAGACGGCTTGACTTACAGACTTTTTGAGTTACAGACTTCTCTGGCCGCAAAATTTAGGTTTGACTTGCAGCCTGAGAATTGACTTACAAACCAGAAAAAAACCAAAATGGAACAAAAACGGCCTGTTACGGGATTAATCGGTTTTCAATGCACTGTAGGTCAATGGAGACTTGATGTACAGACTTTTTGACTTGAGAACCGCCTTCCAATACGGATTAAGTTCTCAAGTCAAGACTCCGCTGTAGGTGTCAATGGGCAATTTTCACAATGGAGAAGTAAAGAGTGGTGTGCCCCAGGTATCTGTCCTGGGACCGGTGCTTTTCAACCTGTTCATCAGTGACCTGGAGACAGGGATAAGCAGTGAAGTGGCCAAGTGTGCAGATGACACGAAACTTTTCCAGGTGGTGAAGACCAGAAGGGATTGTGGAGTGTTCCAGGAGGATCTCTCCAAACTGGGAGAATGGGTGGCAAAATGGCAAATGCGTTTCAGTATAAGAAAATGTAAAGTAATGCACATTGTGGCAAAAAATCAAAACTTTATCAGCTAATGGGTTCTAGCTGTCCGTGACAGATCAGGAAAGAGATCTTGGCATGCTGGTAGACAGCTCAATTAAAGTGTCAACCCTATGTGAAGAAGGCCAATTCCATGCTTGGTATCATTAAAAGGGGGGTTGAAATTAAAACAGCCAACAATATAAGACCATTGTACAAAACAATGGTAAGGCTGCACCTGGAGCACTGCTTACAGTTCTGGTCGCTGCATCTCAAAAAAGACATAGTTGAACTGGAAAAGGTGCAGGAAAGAGATCTTGGTGTGCTGGAGGGCAGCTTGATGAAAGTGTCAACCCAGTGTGCGGGGGCAGTGAAGAAGGCCAATTCCATGCTAAATCTCATTAAAAAGAGGATTGAAAATAAAACAGCCAACATTTTAATACCATTGTACAAAATGCTGATAAAGCCACACTTGGAGTGTTGCATACAGTTCTCAAAAAGACATAGTAGAACTGGAAAAGGTACAGAAGAGAGTGACTAAAATGATGACTGGGTTGGGGCACCTCCCTTATGAGGAAAGGCTACACCGTTTCAGGATCTTTAGTCTAGAGAAAAGGCGCCTGAGGGGGGACATGATTGAGACATATAAAATTATGCAGGGGGTGAATAAAGTGGATAGAGGGGAAGCACTTTTTTCCTCTCAGAGAATACTAGAACCAGAGAAAATCCACTCAAATCGAGTGTTGAGAGAGTGAGAACAGACAAAAGAAAAGATTTATTTACCCAGCGTGGTGTTAGTCTATGGAACTTCTCGCCACAGGATGTGGTGATAGCATCTGGCCTAGTTGGCTTTAAAAGGGGATTGGACAGATTTCTGTAGGAAAAGTTCAACACAGGTTGCAAGCCATGATGGGGATGTACAACACTGGTTCTTAACCTTGGGTTACTCAGGAGTTTTGGACTGCAACTCCCAGAAGCCTTCACCACCAGCTGTGCTGGCTGGGGTTTCTGGGAGTTGCAGTTCAAAAACATCTGAGTAACAAAGGTTAAGAACCACTGATGTACAATCTCCAGGCTTAGAAGGAAGGTACCTGAAAATGCCAGATGCAGGAAAGGGGTAACAGGAGACAGATACAGTGGTGCCTCGCACAGCGGGTGCCTCAAACAACGATGAATTCACACAACGATGCCTTTTTCTGTTAAATTTGCCGCCTCACACAGCGATGTTTCCTATGGGGGATTTTCACACAACAATGTCTCTTTTTCGTTCCTGTAAAAGT